ATTTTATCGAATGTTGCGCTTCATAATGTTCATTCGCACTTCAAATATAACCGAGGGAATAATTTAATGAAAATACATTCTTTCCAATACTTTTCGCCATTTAATTTTTCTGTTTACCGTTTTCTCTCATCCTTTGAAATCGACATATTTTCCATGCGTTCCCATTTAAACTAAAAGACTCGCTCATGAACAATTGAAGTGTCACCATCGAAAAATGGCTTGAGGGTTGCAAAAGTGAACAACTCCCAAATTAACGTCAATAATGTGGTTTAATTTTATATTTCATCATTTTATGTTAGCAAACGTTCAATCGGTCGCTTGTCCGTTGTTAAAATTCTTGCTTTGTCAGCAAAATCCAAAATGATTCATGCATTTAATGTTTGATGTGCCATTTGACAATTCATTCAAATGTATATTACTTTGAAATTGTTTCAGGTGTTAAATTGCAAGGAAACATTATTTATCCGTTCTTGCAGGAAAAACGGTTTGCCATTGCAACGGGGTTTTAATCTGAATCAATCGGCATTTTTACGCTTCAAATATCCAGTTCAATTAAAAGTAAGAAAAAATCGATAATATGTCGAAATGGTTGTATAGTAAAAGATTTATACATTGGCAAAACAAATGACCATTCAAGATTTTTTTGAAAGCCAATGTTCGACTCTACGTTTATATGTGAAATACCGTTGAATAGAAAAATTACAACCGATTTTTCGATAAATCTTCAAGGCAATTCAAATTTTTATGAATACAACAAATAATTAAATCACATTTAACGACCACTAAAACATCGAAATTACTGCAAGAGATAAACGGACGAAAAGACAGCGGATCACTTAAACGATGCAGTCAAATCGAAATGCACGGCAATGCACATGGCTCTCGCGTACACATTGATCACATGAATGATCTGAAGTGCATTCAATTGCATGTTGCCTTCAATATGGTGCAATAACCCGCCAAACAAGACAACCAAACCATAAATGCAGGTGTTTTTCACGTTGCGACTGTAGTGTGCATGATTGCATATATAGCCGCATGCAATAGACAGGTTCGTTCGTAAAATAGGCAAAAATCTAGAAAATGAAGAGAGAAAAAGAGAAAGAGAAAAAAAACAGCAACCAATAGTGGGGGAAAAAATTCAAACGCGTTCGATGATCATTTACATTAAATTGGTTGGACGAGTTAAAACTAAAAGCCACTGCTCTAAAAAAACAAATGCTTCATTTTTCTAGATTTGTCTTTCGCCTTTTGTTGTTGCTTCTCAAAAGTCGTTTTACAGTCTACTGCATGTTTCATGTCTTTTAGTTATGACTGCGAGCATATCGAATATTGTAAGTCGACTCGATGAATATGGCCAATAGATATCTAAAAAATGATTAACATTGTACGAATCGACATTCACCACAATCGTGGACTGTGTTCCGGTTTTGGAAATCAGCAGTTCTGCACTGCACACTGCCAGTCGCTGCATATTGTAGAAAAAATACGGTTGAGTATTTTCTGGATCTTCAAGTGTTTTTTCCGCTTCTTTCGTTCGTTTTTTTTTTTTCGTTTGAAATCTTCATTATCAGCACTTGTTTACAAAGTGACTGGTTGTGGGGGAAGGTGAGAGTAAGAAAAAAGTGAAATTGTAGAAAATGTTTTAACAATGATATACTTTGCAGTTAGTACCATATCACGCTCACGAAAATGCTGTCGACCTACATTCCAAATTATATGGTATTTCACTTCTTGGCGATCATATTTTTTTTTCTTCACTTACCTTGTATTCGATTTGAAAAGCAAATCGGCTACCGATTCAATTAAAAACTGAATTTTATCCAATGAACCAAAACAAAGCTGTATTAGTTAAAATTAGTCAAATTTCACTCTAGAATAAATAAATTTGGAATTTTATCGATCTTTAATATGAAATACAAGTTACAAGTACAAAGTCAAAAGTAGATTTGATAAGACCACATCAAACGAAATCGAATCGATTCATTTTATCTTTGCCGCCATTGCACATGTGCTTTGAAAACATTATTATTATATTGTTGTTCTCTTCGATTCAATTCATTCCATTTTATAGTTTGAATTATCGATATTTGTTTGTTTTTTTTTTTAGCTTATTCAAATGCATCGATCGGAATTGGGTTAAAAAATGGTGGCTTAATAGTGAATATGTTTCAAAATTATGTAACATTGCAATTATTTAATCTATTGATGTCTTTCTTCTTGTTTGCTTTTGTAGTCATCATATGCCGAAACTGTCAGCGTATCATTCGTTGTATCAACGATTTTGTGCTGGCTGTTCCCCATTGAATTGTTTCTTTCTTTCCTCAATTCATTGTAATTGCATTTGTGACTTTAATATTTCCTGAAGTTTTTGATCGCCTAGTACTTGCAGTCGAAATAAGAAAACGGATAGTAAAAGAGACGGTTGGCGAATAGAAAAGACCTCGAGTGCATATGCTACACAGAGAACATGCACGGGCAATAATGTGCTGTTGGTTGGTTTGTTTGTGTGGAATTGCTGCCACAGTGGCTAGCGCATTTTGTATGTTGTGTGGATTGTGCCTATTCGCGCGAGACTGTCGCGACACGCGTGTTCCATGCTCAGTATAACTTTTTCCACCGTGCTTTGTTTTAATAGGCCATAAAAAATAAACTGAAAAACAGTATAAAAACTTCGATTTTCAATAAAATATCATTTAAAGTTCCCTTCATATTTTTTTCTTTTGCTGTTTTTCGCCGTTTAACATTATTCACGTTGGCTGGAATGCATTAAGCATGAAGCATTTTACTCTCTCAATGAAATTTTAGTGCCTCTAATTTTATCGTGGAATGGCAGAAAATATGGCAATTTAACTTTTCCTTTGAACCTCATTACACATACAAAAAAGAGCAGAAATCATACAAATAATTGCCAGCTATGTTCATGGAGGCATGCAAATGAACTGTGAATTCAAGACTTAAAAATGTGAAGAGTGTCAAAAAGTATAAAGATCGTTGACCACAAAAAAAAAAAAAAACATTTCGGTCAAAATTCGGCCTTATACGGTCGGTGAAAAAACATTGTATAGGGGTTCCATAAATCCCCGTTCCAATTATGTACTAACATTTGTGATTTGATTTAGAGCGATCTTAATCAATCCAAATCCATTTATTCTGCTGGAATTGTCTGAAATATTTTACATTTGAAATTTCGTCTAATCAGCAGGAAATCAAGCGTCGAAACAATTCAGCTTTCGTTTCACTCAACATGTGCGGCTCGTTAAATGGAATCGATGATCATCAAAGTTGTTAAGCTATCTGGGTCATCGTATTCAAAATCGTTTTATTGGAAACAGAGAAGAGCACATACACTAAAATATGCACGACAGACCAATTCCACTCAAAGTTATTCATGAATCAGATTTCAATTGAAAGAGAATAGAGTCGACTACTCGCTATTATCGAATCACGATCACATCAAAACTCTTGGTGTATAATTTCAACCATTCATTTTTCTTAATGCAACTTCTACGTCCGAGCAATAGAGCAACATAATAATGTCGGTATTATTAGAATTTGAAGATGTTTTTTTTCTCTTCAAATCTTTGCCGGCGCTTTTTTTGCTTCGAAATATCGTTAGTCGATGATGGTTAATTGAAACTGATTTTGATTGAACCTCATCGGTTTCAATGGTTAATACAACAACAAATTTACATCTCCATTGAAACCAAATCATACCGTATAGAAACGAGTGTTGATGTTTTTGCTTCTTTTCCAAACACATTCCATAATTATTGCTGATTGATTGGGCAGTCGTTGTGATTGTTATTAGAGCGCTTTGAGTTCGAAACTAATTTATTCAAAAATAGTAAAGATATGAACGAACAAAGTACCACTTGAATGAAATATAGAACGGCATAGAATGAAAGAACACAACTAAAATAATCTTCGTCATTTATCGAGGCACTATTGGCTATGAAAAATGATGCGAATTTAATGCGGGGAATTAGTTTTATTCATGAAAGAAGAGGAAAAAAGCTACAAACAATCAACAAAAATTATCGTGTTTGCTTATGATAGTGCTCTGATTTCAATTTAATGAACAAACTCAAGGTTTGACATATCAAAATAGGAACTAATCGAATGTACAAGAGAATTAATTGAACCATTGAAAACTGATTGTTTCGAGCGACTGAATGATTGAAACGTTAAACAATACTGTTGAACTAACGACAAAGCGGAAAATACGACTTATTTTCATTTCAATATTGTATTGCACTTTTCGATATGGTTTTTAATAGAACTTGAACTATTCCTATCTACAGTGAAAAAGCATCTATTTCAAGAAGAAAACACAGTTCATGGATGAATATTATGGCCGATCATTTTTAATTGAAACAAGTCTTTTAAAATACGGTGACAACAACGTTTGCGACTGAACGATCCTATTTCCAATTCATTTGAAATATTTATGTAAATGCATTCGGCTCATTCGAATCAATTTGCACTATTATTATCCGTCTATTTTTGCCATAATTGTTAGAAACAATATTTTACTGTTGTATCCAGTCGTTTTAAGGCTTTGGTGTGGCGCACGACTGCGAGAATCGATTGGTGTTAATAACTTATAACATATTCATTGTTTCTGATGACAAGCAGCGCACAAAATGCACACAGTCGCACCAACATACTAATGTCGCTCGCTTTTCTACATCGGCACATGGATGAATTGCGATATTTTTTGCTCGGCCAATAAATGTATGTGAAAGTTTGCATTCATTCGAATGCATTTAGTTGAACTATATCCATATTCGAGACAAATGTCTGTCTCATGTTGAATGAAAAACCATGGGCGTAGGCTGAAACAGTTTATGTATAGCACACAATAAATATGCAAATGGGCTCTTTGCTTGTTGAAAAAGACTGCAGAAATTATTTCGGTTTATTTAGATAATAAATTGATCCATTGCCTAAACTAAAACCATTGTTAATTCCATGTTCTTCCTCTCTCTCATTTTCAGAATCGAAAATTATCAAAGATAAATCAGCAACAATCGCAAGCACAACTCCTCCTCCGCAAAAGGTATGTAAATCTAAGAGCTAATTAGCGGTTTTATTCATTCTCTAAAGTTGATTTTTCCTCCTCTAAATTGTATTGGGGCTGTGGTTTAGAATTTGAAATACATGTCTTATCTTTGTGAATCTGTCTTCCATACTATGTTTAGATCAGCGACTTTTTTTTCAGAATTATTCATAAAATTTAAAATGCCTAGTCACCTTTCGCTCCTCTTATGCATCAAATTTATGGGTAGCATCACTCAAAGTTTTTATATACAGCTAAATGTTGTGATAAAATCACAAATATTCGAAAGAAAGCAAAACGTAATTTTTCCACTCATTATTTTTCTGAAATTGAAACGAACATTGACCTCTTTAATTTTCGAAAACACACAAAAATAATGATTTTCCAAGTGAAATTGAAACTGGTCCCGCTACAGTGAGCAGATTGCGTTGTTCGTAATTACGCCCATCCAAACGTTGATTACCTAAACCGAAAATTTAAAATTTAAGAACAAAAAAGGAAATCGCCATGCATACCAGTTATTGTTCGTATACACATTTCCGGCCTTCCCCATGCAATTGACATGAAAGCGCAAACTTTTTCTCTTTTTCATTTCCATTCGAATATGTGTGTACAATGTATGAAATGAGAATTATGCGGGAATAAAATTTGTATGCGACGGTGTAATTGCAAGCAGAAAGAAAATGTTGTGAATAATATGTCATGCGAACTTTCTATTCAATACGGCCTGATTGTACCGCCATGTTCCAAGTGATGGTGAGCGCTGGGACACAATTACGCATAAATAAAATGATTTCTAAAATAAAGTAAATATCACAAGCGACAAGTTCAATTCAAAATATGATGAATTCGTGTGCGCAAACACTCGACGAGATCGTGTCTCTGAATATTTATCCATGAAATCGACAGGTCACTAAAAAATAATCGCTTTTTTCTTTCTCGCACTAAGACAATAAAAACATGAACAATGTTGGCCCTTACGATCGAGATCACCATTTGTGACCGATTTTATTTTTAATTTTTTTCGCTAACAAAGTCATTACGATTTATAGATTGAAGTTGTGTATGTTTTTTTTCTTCAAATTATTCAAATGAATTTTTACGGCTTAGTAGGTCTAAAGTCACGAATAATCCCATAGATGTTTGTGTGTGTGAATGGGTTGTTATTTAAATTTATATTGCTGGGACGCAGTGTTGCAGTAATTCTCCTCCTATGTGTTAAATGTCATTATACGATTTCTTGTTTGTCAGATTATGGGAAAAACATGCAAGATCCAAGCGGTCTGGAGGTTTGATCGTTGAAATCACGGCGGTTGGATTGGATTAAGGCGATCATTTTTGGTTGATAATTTGACAGTTAACATTGGAACAGATTAAGTTTCGTGAAGATAACTGATTGTTACGGAGTAACTAAAAATTTTTCCCCAGTGGCCAACAGTCGATTATTATTCACTATCGGTGTTTAAGAATCGGATCAAGGTCTAATTAATCTCTTGACGTACCTCAAAATGATCCAATAGGTTAACTTTATTTCACTTCATGCCTGTTAGTCGATATCATTAGCTTAAATCTGCTAACGGGGCTGACAATTGTTTTAGGTTCTCTGAAAATCCATACACAACGTTCGCACGAAAGAAATAACGGTGTGATGATTAAAAGTATTGCTTTCGATTTTGAATAATCCAAGGACGTTACGAGAACCATTGCTCTTACATTCTTGCTGTGATTGAAATAATTTTCTGTGCCGAGTAACAAAATCGAAACTGATCATCAACTTTGAATGAACTTTTCTTGTGAATATTAATACAAAAGCGATGGTCTTTAGCAAATTGGTGATTGTTAATAAAATTCTTTGAATTGCAACATCTTGGAGACTCATTTTCATTGGAGCCACAGAAGAAACCCACAATCTAGTTGAAGAATTAATGATATGTCTGGACACTGACAAGCATTTCTTGGAAAAGATCCGCTAAAATTCCCTTCCCTCCTATTATAACTTTCAAATTGTTATTATAGTTGTAAAGACGACAAAGAAGATGCTTGGCAATTATAATGCGCACGGTGCAGCCAATAGAAAAGTGATCGTTGTGTTGAATACATTATTATTATTGTAAAGACAAAAACCGGTAGAAAAAGTCGCAAAAAATATACTCAGTAGCACCGTGTAGAGAATTTTGCACAAGGTCGTATGGCAACATCATTGCCTTTCGAAAGCGGTGTAGAAACTGTAGAATGCATAGAAGCGCATGTATATTTTTTCGATACGACAAAAAAAACAAACTATCGACACGCATTTTATCGATTGTATATGCTTCACACGCAATCTTCATGCTATTTTGTGCTTCACACGAAATATACCACGTCTCTGGCGACACCTATCGAAAATGAAGCGAACTGCGCAAAAGCTTAACAAACCCGACGAGAAATTTGCGGTGAAATAGGTGTACGTCGACTATCCGTCGCATATCCGTTTTTGAGTGCGGATACTCGCAATGCGAATAGGTATCCACAATAAAAGTTGCCGCAAAATGTTATCGCTGAATACCCTGCGACTATTCGCGCTGCGATAAATGTGAAGTTGTAACTGAATCGAGTGTGATATTTCGACTTGAAACTTCGTACAACCAACGTGAAGTTGGCTGCGTTCGACGGACTTTTTCGTATTGCGACTATACGTAGAATAGTCGCAATGCGATATTCCGCAAATTTCTCGTCGGGAAAGTTGGAGTTTATACTTTAATATGAGTTTAAGCTTGAAAGTCACTCAGATTGACCAATTGCTTGAGCAAAAGTGATTTTGAAGTTTTGAAGTGTTTGTGTTATTTTACCAATTTCACTAAACGAGCATTGGCTTTATGCCATTGAGTGCTATAATTATGTAAAATATTGAGTGCATTTCGAGAAAAATCAATTTTTTGTGATTTCTACTCTACTCACAGCAAACAATTGTATCATGAAAAGGTTTATCTTTATCTTCCTAAATGGAATACCATCCGATTTGGAAAAAGCAATATAAAATGTGGTACAGAACAATTTGCAAAACTCATAATTTCGAGTTTTCAAATTATTACTCACAACCATTTGGGACGTGTCGAAAACAGTTGATAAAAATAGCCCTCGAGAGTTGAGTGGAATATGCATGAGTATTACAGATTCAATACTCTTATAAAGTGCTAAATACATGGAAGAGAGACTCATTGCCAACGCAGAGCTCGAGTCAAACATCGAACACATATACATTGACACAAATGTTGGTTTGATTAAAATTCTAGCCCATTTCAGTATCGTGAAAGCGGCATTACAGAGTGGTATAATGTGTAAATAATACATGCGGTTGCCATCCACATGTATTTCGTTGTATTCAAACAACACTGTGAGCATAGACACTCAAAAATGTGAACTGCTCATTCGTTTGCCACACACAAACAACAGATCAAATGGAAGAGCAGAAGTAGAGAGAAGAAGAAGAAGAAGAAGAAAAAAACACCGACAAAATAATCATCACGTGTATGTATTGATGCCTGATTCCTCTGCATATGTATTCGTACAACCAACAATGTATTGCGATTCGATTTTGTTGTGCAGTCGAACCGTCAACAACACACAACATAACAAAAAGAGAATGTGTGTTCGTGAAATGAGTTGAAAAGAAAACAACAATTCCGAATGAAAAAGACCACGGAATATTATCGTGTATATCAGTTTAACGCGAGCATTTCAGTCCGATGAGTATTACTTGAGTTGGTTCAACGTTTGAATCGCACATAAAATATTCATTTTTCATTCATATTTAATATTATCGTTTTGGTCAAAATTTTGATTTGTGAATGTTTATTTTATTCGACGTGGTGGATTCAATAAAATGTTATTAATAAAAGGATAAAAAGTGACCAACGCATATGAGGAATAATTTACTAAAATAATGTTTGGTTCATGTTGTAAGTAAATGGGTGAAAGACATGGAATAACATTTCGATTGCAATATAGTGAACGTATATGTGATACTTTTAGAGGCTTTAGAGCCAGCAAAATTGTGAGCATATTTCTAAAATTATAACGATATGTTGTACAATGCTTACACTTAGTTTGGATTTGTTATGCATTGTGGTGTGTGATTGATGCAAAGGTATTAAAATCAGTGTGAAAGCGATAAAATCCAACAGCATTCTGGTTTAGTATTGTTTCTGGTGTTGTGTTATGTGTTTGCTGTGATGACGTTCTCATGCGAGTTCAAAATTATATGGTTGTTTATTATTTATGGGCTTCAATGTTATTTTATAGGCTCAAGACATTTCGTTACGATTGCATTATGGTGATGATGTAATAGTGCAACCGACGGCTTTGTTGAAGTTGAAACTGAATTTAAGCTGTGCCAAATGTCATTCTACGTTGGTGTTTCATGCTACCAATTGTGACGTAAGAGATGTACAATTGCACATGAACCATTTCGCTATTTTTAGCTGAAAAACGTGTGGTCATGTTGTTGTTGTTGTTGCCATAGCGCAATTTTGTTGTTGTACGAAATTCAATATTATCAATTGAAGTCAAGCGGAAAACAACTTGAAGACGCCTTATCTCATGCATCAATCAAAATCCAAGTTGTTTATGAATGTGAGCAGCGAAAAAAAATAAACATCTTAAAATAAATAAAATAAAAAGTGGGACAATGTATTTTCAATGAGTTGAAAGTAAATGAATATATTTTCTCAAAGTAACCTAATTGATTCGTTTGCATTTTAAATCAGCAGTTGTTTAACAACGTATTGAGAGATGTTTTTTTATTTCAAATTTTTGATTAATTCAGTTTTTCAATTAAACTCAAATCAATTCAATAGCCATGAACTTGTTGCATACATACAAACGCTGCAACTGGAGTTATTCACATGGAACGAACGTTCACCAATGAAATACTGAATCATTCGTGCTGATGAATCATTATATTTTGCAGTCATTACAGCCAACTACAGTATTTTTTCAGCGTCGGTTGTTAGCGATGTTTC